ATAGATAGATAGATAGATAGATAGATAGATAGATAGATAGATAGATATTTCTTTTGTTCTAACTGTGAGGGTAGAAGCTGTAATAACCAATGTCCTTCGTACAGTTTTTCTCGCACTCTCTGGGTGCCAGCAGCTCAGATTTTAATGGGGACACGGTTTCTGGAACTGGCGTGGCTGAGGGTGAGATCCTCCTCCGTTTTGCTTGTTCAAAGATACCAGAATCACTTGAATCGATCGATTTGATGGAGGACGGTGTCTCTATCCAGCTCGAATCGGATGCCATATCCTTGGCTTTGGTGTCCTCCGAGCCCCCGATCGGTGACCTCTCTGTGGCGATGGAGTCCCCCTCCTCGGACAGGTAGTTGGTGCCCGTTCTGCCGCCGATGGAGTTAGCGGGCCAGCAGGAAAAGACCGAGCTGGGTTTACTATTCACGCCGCAGTACTGCGGCGGCGTGCGTCCTCCCCAGCCAGACGGGTCTGCGTAATAGCCAAGGGGCCGGTTGGAGCAGCCCGCTGTCGGCAGGGGAAGAGCCTTCACTCCGGCCGCTGCGTAGGACAGCAAGGTGGCCGCGTTACCGGCGAAATCAGCGGCGTCGTATGCCGAGGCAGCAAAGTCCAGTCGGTTGTTGGCAGGGGTGACAAACCATCGCTGCGGGGGGGTGGCAACAGTGGGCTCCTCGGTTTGCTGCGGGGATAGCAAGCTGTTGCCGAGTGGGACGCTGCGTTCCGTGCCAGGACCAGTCCCCACGCCAGGGTGAAAACGAGATTTGGCATAAGTGCTGACAAATTGGTCCTGCAGGAAAGAGCTAGGCATGGCATATCTCGCACCCGGCACGATCTGTGAACGCGGAGAGTCACCCGGTGAAGGAGTTAGGCGGTCAATGTCGCAACCTGTGTAGACACTGCAAAGATGGAGAGGAAAATACAGAAACAATTCAGATGCTGTGAGAGATAAATGAGATTCGTTTAGGTCAACGGGGCCTTTTTAGGCAATATCACAAATTCAGAAACGAGTTTATCAAGCTGAGTGTCTTTGTTGTCTTGTGTTCAAAATCTGACTTTAGGGAACTGAGATAACCGTTTGGGTTTGGAAGGCCCCATCATTCAGAGATCAATATGAAATATGAAAATGTGCATGGCTAAGAACCGAGCGTCACTGTTTTCTGTTTTTCAACAGTATAAGAGAATGTTCAATATTTTCCAGTTTGATCACTCCTCTGTATGCTCATTTACAGAACAAAATGAGCAGAATCAAGACGCAACACATGTTGATCAAATCGAAATTCTTTCTTCCTTTTACAATAAAAACATTCCTTCAGACGGAGTCAGTGATACACAATTTTTTTAATTGCATGAACAACATCTAAAAAGAATATTCAGAATTTTTCAGACGCCTTTCACCTTTTCTTTGCCACTTTCTTCCTTTAATGCAATGTTTTCCCGTTTTGTTTTCAGAATAATTGCAGGAAAGTGTTAGCCTAATAAAAACATGACAAAAATATTCTTAAAACATTACTTTTAGAGGGATGAACTTACGTGTCGTAATTGTCCCGAAATCCTTTAGCGAATGGATTGTGGTCAATTTTTAGCTGCGTAATCTGTAGAAGGAAAAAATATTTACAGATCAAACAACGTGAAACTTAAAGATTGAGCTTGAAAATAAGTGTAGTTCTGACACACACACGCACATATATAGGCTACGTGTGATAAAAATTTGGCTGTATGTATATATTTGTAGGCTATATATATATATATATATATATATATATATATGTATATTGCCCAATTTTAATTTTGCCACATAAAAATTAAGAATTGTTCTCAGTCGAGTAAAAAATGTAAAACTGTATCATTAGTCTTACTGAAAACTGGAAAAACTTCCTGTTTACGGGATGTGGGATGTGTTGTACAGCAGAGATTGCATTTGGTGCTAAATTACATTTCTAAGAGGGGGGAATT